GGCTGTGGGGTGGAGCTTTGTGGCTTTGTAGCACGCCAGGGCCTTGTGAACCGGGGTGCTCAGGTTCAGAGCTTTGGTTAAGTTGCTTCCTCTTCGGGGGCACGACCTCTGGTGTCGGGCGCAGACTTTGAAGTTGTCGCCGGCGTCGGTTTTGGCTTTGGTTGGTGAAAGGCTTTCGGCAGGCGAGTTTGCATGGCTGGCGGCCATGCCCTCAGCCATTGTGATGATGAATCCGAATCGATGGCCACCTGCTCCTGGTCGGCTGTTATCATAGCTCTAAGCAGCGAGGAGAGCGTCGCCGCCAAGAATGCCTAAAACCCTCAACCCTAAAAAACTAAACCCTTGTACTTCATGAGGGTGGTGATATTCAACTGGTCACTACAGAACCGATGCAATGACATCGTCGTAGACAGCCATCCTACTGCCTCGGCAGCTGGGTTCAGGGTTTATGGTTTAGGGTCCAATGGCGGTACGAACGATAGCTTCGACTTGAAAGCTACGGTTGCTCGACTTGCCTTGCTTTGGCAGGGTCACTGAGTCTTCGGGCTACGAGAATAAGCCCCAACATATATGTGCACCAAAAATCCGGACCCCGAGGTAAACTCAACCTCCTACAGGTCGAGGGTTCCTCCAGTCACGGTGGGTGCTTCCGGCCTGGGAATTTGGTAGCCAGGGCCAAAGCCTGGGCGCCTAAACCCGAAACCCTAAACCTCCAAGCTCTACACCTGCAACCCTCAGCCATGGGGCTCTTTGATAGGCCTGAACGCGACACCGACACCTGTTGAACCCTCATGAAAACGGCTTACTACCCCCCTAACCATTACATATCCCATCATGCGAGGGAGGGTTGCAAAGGATTGGGGATAGTGGTTACATACCTCGCTATAAGGATCTTGCAAGACCTACGGTCGATGATCAAAATCCTGCATTACCCATAAAAAGGAATATACCATAATTCCCATAGTTTAGGGTCCTTAATTTATATCATCAACAGTACTTTCCCGACTAGCCCAAGGAAGTCGAATGTAAAGCGAATACAAGGGTCTGAGAAAGGGGCGCTCACAATCAAAATAGGGCCTTGGGTACGGGTACAATCGGATGAATAACAATGGTCTGTAATTAAGCATATCCGGTTGTTTATTTACTCGAACCCGGGTGGAGATTTGCAGCTTCAACAAGCACGGCATGGCGTGATTCCGTGCGCCTTCAGGCGTCGTTCGACCATTTCAGGTCGAAAATCCCGCGCACCTGAAGTGCTGACGGTCAAAGGGTTGTTGGGGTTTAGGGTTTAGGGTTTAGGGCCTCGGGTTTAGGGTGCAGGGTTTAGGAATAAACCCTACACCCTAAACCCTAAACCCCTCAACTGAGGGTTGGGCTTGTCGGGGTGCTTACACCGTAATCACGAGACGCAAACTTACCAAAGCCCGGGGACCTCTAGTTGAAGCAAACCTGATAGACGGGCCTTAATGATTAGAGTTTAGGGTTTCGGGTTAATGATGAGAATTTTGGGTACTGCCCCGATACAATAACAGTCTAGAATAGGGCTACTATTAAGGGCCCTACATCTCCATATTATGAGTATTACCCAACTGTTGCTGAGTGGGGGCAGTATCCAAATGAGAGAAGAATAGGGGTCCTTTACGGGTTCCGTTTTAAAGGAACCCCTAAGGGCTACTATAAGGGTTCCATGATGTAGGGGCCTTCATAGTTAGAATCGGGTTTTGAGGCCCATTATACTATGTTTATACACAGGAACCCTGAGGAATATTGTTGGTAATTATTCCGAGTTCTATAGTACATCCTAAACTTAGTTGCGGAGTTCATAAGCCCAAAGAAGTGTACACTTTCGGTTTTAGAGGGGATTATATTGCCCCAAAAAGTTTAAAAACTCAGCTACTAAGTAAAGTTAACAGAGGGACTAGAACTTAGAACAACCCATATCCTGTGAGCAGCAGGGAAGCCTAAACCTCGAGGGCCGAAAGCCCGAAAGCCAAGCCCTATAACACCCGATCAAAACCCTTAAGGTTTAGGGTTTTGGGTTTTGGGTTTTGGGGTTTAGGGTTTAGGGTTTAGGGGTTAGGGGTTTAAGGGTTTTGGGGTCTAGGGTTTAGGGTTTTGGGGTCTAGGGTTTAGGGTTTTGGGGTCTAGGGTTTAGGGTGTAGGGTTTAGGGCTTAGGGCACACCACAAAAACCCTATTCCGAGCTGTAACCCAGACGATAACAACCCAGCCGAAGTGACTCGTTTGGGTGCTCGGGCTTAGGGGATAACAAGGGCTCCTTTGCGCGCGCTTTGGGAGTAGCAAAAACAAAGCGGCACGTCGGAGTCATGCGCCATTGAGGTCGAGAACGCACTGCATACACAATACTCCATTAAAAGGTCTAACAGCAGACATTTGTAGAATTTTCTTGCGACAAAGGCAACTTGCTTTGCTTTGGATCTTTGGGCGTTTGGACATTGAGCTTCGTCGAGAGTTTAGGACGTTAGCGGCTTCAGAGCCTTGGGCATTAGGACTCTGGGCTCTAAGGTGTCGGATGTTGGTGCTGGTTGGGGGTTTACAGCTCAGGGTGTAGGGTTTTAAGGGTTCAGGGCTTCAGGGTTACGGGTTATGGTACAGCATTTCGATTTCTGGAGTGGGAGGTGGCAAAGCCAATGCAGGCAAGCATTGACATGGGGGATTCCGAAAACAGGGGACCCTAATATAGTACCCTAAATAGTAGGATCCTGATTATGAGGACTCCAAAATAAGGTACCCTATTTTTCGGAAAGTCCCACATTGCCATCAGGACACATCTTCGTTCCAGGCGTTGTCCATGGCAGTCTCGCCCATGCAGTTCCTCAGCCCCGAAAGAGTCGCCTATGAAACCCTAAATCCTAAACCCTACACCCTGAATCCTAAATCCCAAACCCTAGAATCCTACATCCTAAACCCTAAACCCTGAATCCTACATCCTAAATCCTAAACCCGGGCTTCAATAACTCAAAAACCTGTGAGCCCTCGCTGGATAAACGAGCTGGCCACCGACCCTAGGCCGGTTTTTGAGCAGTCGAAAAACCCCTCACAACCTTGGTAATCTAAGATCCCAGCTCTATACTCTTCTTGAACTCGACACCTGCAATCCAATCCCCCAATGGCGGAGCTTTCGGAACGAACTCTTTTCTCTTACCCCCCCCCCTCCCCTGCGTTTCTGATCCGGCAAGTTTGTATAAGGTTGCTGCTCTCATCCTGCAATGAGCTTCATCTGCTATTTCGCTGCTGTTGCTACTGGGTTGAACCGAGGATTAGCGACTTCACGGAGGGTTTCTTCGTCTTTCAAAGTGTGCGGTCAGAGGGTTGCTGACGACGAAGTCACTATTGATGCTGGGAATAACAGCCGGCATCAACTTGAGTTGTTGCAGGCGAGCGTGCACGAACACCGCAACCCCTTTCAAGGGGTCTTATAACCTTCCCAAAGAACCCAATACCGCTTAATTAAGGAATATACCTCAAATTATAGAGGCCTTAATACTATGATTTAAGGTATATTCCTTAATGAAGGGGTTTGCATTGCATTTTGGTTAACACTAAACTCTGACTCATTAAGCAAGGAGGGCAGAAGAGCAATTGGGAAATGAAAAGAAGTGATTGGCAGTCCTGGCACACAGCAACCGCCACTCTACTAACCTTAAGTAACTGCCAAACGGAAGCCCTATCACTTTGCAAACCCTAGACGTTCAAAGCCCTAAACTCCTAAAGCCTCAACCCTAAACTCCTAAAGCCTCAACCCTAAACCACGATGCCCGAAATTCTGCGGACGTAGCTTCTTTGCTGTGGGATCTGCCCTGGCATCCAGCAGCAGCGAGACAAAGTCGCCTCGGAAAATTCGACTGCAGGCACTTGAGACTAGAGTCGAACGTGGTACGGGGCAGCAGCGTATCAAGAATATCTTACCCCTAAACCCTAAACGTCTCCCTCCGCCGTAGGACCGCATCCCATACTCTTCGACTACGGCCCTGCACGAACAACTGGGACTTCAGGCATCGTAAGTGGGTTTAGCGTTTAGGGTTTAGGGCCCCCTTTAACCCTTTAGCCGTAAACCATAAGCCCCTAAACCCTAAACCCCTAAACCCCTGTTTAGGGTTTCGGGTTCAGGGTTTAGGGTTTAAGTTCTCCATCACCGCGAGACCTCGAAGTCACCCTCCACACTCTGGAGATGTACCGGAACACGGATTTTCGCCGTTTTAAGTATAAGGTTGTAATCAAAGCAAACACAAGTATAGCTACACATATAATGGGATTTAGGACTATGGGGATATGGACCCTCCCAATAAAGTCCCGTTCTAAGAGAGCCATAAGTAGGGTTGAGAAGGGTCCCCTTCAAGGGGTTTTCCTAATACTACCTAGGATATAACCCCAATCTGAAGCTGCAAGTTGCGTTTTGGATTTAGATAGGAGGTTGCAGGATCCGGAAATTGGGGGGCTCATTGCAATAATCAGACAATAATCAGACTCCCACTGTAGCGACGAAACCGAAACCCTCACAACTCTGAAGCCACCACAGCCTCTAACTCTAAACGAACCCAGATCCCTGCTTGTGCAAAACCAACCCATCAAGAGAACCCCTACAAATCAACCAAGAATGGTTTAGGGCTTTAGGTTTAAGCCAGTGGGTAACCTGCCTAGACCCCAACCACCCTCCATTAGGGCATGGGCTTCACTGAAGCCGAAACAACGGCAAATAATAAGGACGATAAGGCTCCCAATATAGCAGCCTTCACAGTGACAACGGCACAGCGAAGTAAATCGCGCAATGGCTCTCTTTTCTGCTTGGCTAATGGTCAGTAGCTTTAAAGTCAAGGGGGCCCCCTGGGCCAAAAGGAAAGCGGAAGGCACACAACAGTCAAGGGACAGGCTGCACAGGTAAGCCGATTCACAGCTCCCAAAAGTTTTGTTGACTGTTGTCACCTAGGCTTAACGTTGCCTGTCTGCCGTCTTAGCAGACGATCTTCTAAAAGCTCCGACTCCGCCTCGAGCTTGAAGGTGCCGGTCTGGATTAGGTCGAGCAGACAGTCCTTGCCGGCGCCGATTTTGGTGAGGCTGTCCACCGGCATGCTCTGGTGCTCCACCCAGCACACTTGCACCCCCAGGCCGTCGATCTTTTTTCTCTTGCTATTGCGACGTCCAGCGCGGTGAACTTGTCCTGGGCCTGCGCCCCTTCCTTCATCAGGTTGTCGTACAAGCTTTTAGCGTCCACCACCGCCAGGGAGTCCTTGAGCTTGGGGTCCGCGTCCGTCTTCTGCAGCACTATGTCGGCTTGGGCCTGAACACTGGCCCGAAACTTCTCCAACGAGAACCCCGGATCCATGAGCTCCCCATGAATCGCTTTGGCCCACATGAGCTCCCCCAGTCCCTTCAGCAGAGACTGCGTTTCCGCTGCAAGTGTCGAGCCCACCTTGCGCTTGAGCTTGGCCGACTTCCACCAGATCAACGAGCATGGTGCTCGCCGGCCGTCTAGGATCGCCCGGTCGAAGGCGATGATTGCCAGAGCTCCTTGGGAGGAGCCATCTGAGTGGTTCGCCCAAGAGGCGTCGGTGATCGCTCCCCACCCTAAGTCCTGCGGCTTGATGGGGTAGAAGCACAGCGTGAGGTCCCTGAGCTTCTTGGCCTCCTCGACTGCGCGGTTCAGCTCGATAAGGTCCCGTACCTTGAGGGACCCGATTCTCGACGCCAGCATGCTTGTAGCTCCAGCCACGTCTGGCCGGCCTTCTTTAGCCAGCCAAGCCAGTGAGCCCAAAAGCCCGCGAGCCCTTTGTCGCTCGTCCTCGGTGACCGGCTCGTCCGGCTTGCTCTTTCTCCCACGCTCCAAGGTGAGCGGCGCCAGCCGCTCCTCCACAAACTTCGCCATGTCGACCTTCAGCACGTAGTCGTGGCCTTGTTGCACCCTTCTCCCATTGAACTTGAACCGGGAACGTAGTTGCTGCATCTTTGCGTCGTGGGTCTTGTGGCCGAAGCTGAGGATATCGTCCACCTCGATCACCAGGACCCCTTCTAGAGCGTGCTCGGAAAAGAGTAGAAATATTGTGGGGTCCAGCCTCGACTGCTGGTACTCCAGGTCCTTCACCACGAAGTCCTTCAGCGTAGCCCTCCAGTGTCGCGGCCCGTCCACTAGGCCATAGATGCCTTTGACAATCTCCAACAGCTGCTCCTCGTGAGCGCCCGGTGGCCCACCGTTGCGGGGAATCCGCACAAACAGTCGGCCTCCTGCGCGGACCAGCGGCGCCGATTGAGTGAACGCCGCCTTTAGGTCGCCGCAACTGCCTGCCATGCCCAGCGAGGTCACCGTCTGCAAGAGTACCTGCAAGTTTTGCGTGCAGACCGTCGGCGCGTACACCTCGATGTCGGCCGAGTCTGGGTCTTGATCTCCACGCACAACCCAGCGTGACTTCAATGACGCCTCCTCCCCCAACTGCTCGCCGGGTTTCCGACGACGCACAATTCGGCTGTCGATCACCTCGCGAGCCAGCTGGTCCCAGATCACGCGGCTCTCCTCCAAAGTGCGAAGAACCACGGCACCTGATCCCAGGACTTTCTCCCACTCTTCTGCGTCGGCCTTCCTCGAATCCAGGAGGGCCACTCCTCTTGGGAGATGTCCTTTTCCTTGACCTCGTCGCTGGCCGTCTTCTTGGCGGCGAAGACCTCGAAGCCGCCCTCGTGGAAGTAGAGCTCGGTGGCGTCGTCCTGCAAGGCCCCCTGCTCTATCAGGACCTTCGCTTCCTTCAGGCCCTTCTTGGTGAGGAAGAAGTCCGTATAGCCACGCCACTTTGCCGGGGCGCGCTTGCTTGGCTTAAGCTCGCGCCAGTGGTCGGAGATCTCGTCCACGTCGCCCTTCTTGAACTTTCGGCACGTAGTCCTCTCCGAGCTCAAGAGGTGCAGCGCCACTGGCAGCTGGGAGGCTTCCCATGGAGAAAACTGAGAGGACCTCCATTTCACGTGGTGGCGCCTAAGCCTGCCCTCGCCTGAGAAGAATTCCCAGTGGTCCCGGTGAGGTGGTTGTTGCCTTTGGCCGCTCTGCTCGAAGAAGTCGTCCTCGAGGGCCTCGCGGTGGTACGGCGTGGCCGCTTGTAGTCTCGCCGCTGGCGGCGGTTGCCGCGCCGCTCCGTATCCTGGCTCCGGCCCTGGCGGGTTGACGTGCCCATCCAGCCGGGCTGCTCTGCGCGCGGCCTCCACCGCCTCACTGACCCGGTGCTCTCTTGCTGGAGCCTCCACGTCCGGCTCCTCGGTGGTGGCCCTGCTTGGCGGGGCCGCTGGCTGCAAAGGAGACGTAGGCAAAGGAACTTGTGGTACAGGTGGTTCTGGTAGCTCCGGCTGCACCTCTTGCGCCGTCGGCGGCTCCAAAAGAAGGGCCGGCACTGGCGTCTCGGGCTCCTCTATCCGAACCCTGGGCAAGCCTCTGGCTTCCCCTTCTGCTTCCACGGTGTCTTGGGACTCGCGCTCCGACCCCGGTAGTAAAGGATCGCCCGTGAGGTCGGTGACCACTCTGTGCTCGCGGCCGGTGGCCTTAAAGCGCTGAGCCATGTCCTGGAAGATGTCGTTGACTGCCTCCACTCCGCGGATCTCCTCGGAGGTGCCGTCCCTCAGGTGCTCGTTCGCGCACTTCCACAGCCGCCCTTTCATGTTGACGTAGGCGTTGGCTCCCTCGGGAAGCACCACCACTCCAGGTCCCGTCCAGCAGGCTCGGCGCACCCCTTGGGAACGCCAGGTGCGCCACACGAAGACAATGTCGCCTGGTCGGAAAACCTTCGTGGTCCTCGGTCTTGCTCGCAGCGCCCGCCGAATGGCTTGCGAATTGTTCACCTCGGCGAACGCCTTCTGTGCCGCGGTCCTTGCGGCCACCTTCTTCTGAATCTCCGGGCCATCGCCAAGGAGAGCGGCCTCCACCAGCTCGTCCGAAAGCAGCTCGCCGGTGGTCTTTGGGTTCTCGCCGATCACGCGCTGTGCTGGGGAATATTCCGAGCGGTCCGACAGCCGATTCTTGGCGGACTCTACCTCCCGGAGGAGGACCTTGTATTCGTCGGCGCTTGCCGGCGGATTCATCCACTTGGCGCGCTGGAGCATTGCCTTGTACAGCCCCCCGTGCCGTTCTGCCCTGGAGTTTTGCTGCGGCGCCCTTGCCCCAATGACGTGGAGCACCACGCCCATCTGCGAGCAGCGGTCGCGAAAGTCGCTCAGGTACTCGGTCCCCTGGTCCACGATGATCATCTGGGGAAACCCGAATACTCGCGCCCAGCTCTTCACGAAGGCGTGCCAAACCGCCAAAGGAGTTTTCGCCCGGACTTTCTCCACCAGCTGGTAATTTGTGCCGAGGCAGATCATATTGAGGAATCCGCCCCATTCCAGCTCGGAAGGTCTATCAGGTCAATGGCCATGGCGGTGTTCGGCGAGAAGTTCCTCGGCACTGTGGCCGGCCGGTGCGCCTTTGGAAGCACACCAGACTCGCAGGTAGGGCAGCGAAACTCCTGCTTCACCCATTTCCAGGCATACTCTGGAGCGCCACCCACCCGGAGCACTCTAGCGAGGGTAGCTTTGTCGGGGCCCAAGTTGCGGTGAAGCTTCATGATGCCCTCCTTCTCGCGTTCGGTCGGCTGCTTCACCTCCGGCTCGGGATCGGCCGGCTCTGCCTCCTCAGCACCTGCGTCGGGGTCGATCGGAAAGCCCTCGACCTCTAAACTGCACTGAGCCGGTCCTCGCAGGCCTTTCGCCATCCAGTAGCGCTCGGTGTCGGTCACGTTCGTCACCAAGCCCTGCTTGCGGTAGAGGAGGTAGGCCGCCGAGCTCCTCAAAGTGCTTGCTCTCAGGGCCTCCCAGGCCGGCCCTCCGTGGCCGGTCGGTGCCTTCAACACGAACGCGCCTCTACGACGCTGGCCACATGGTCAACCTGCTCGCGGCTGCTGGTGGTCGGGAGCTCTAAGATAGCTTCGGCTCCCGCTCGCGTCCAGGCGCACCAGTCCTTCGCCCGGCCCAGAGGAGACGCCTCTGTCCCAAGTTCGGCTGGGGCGTCGGCCCAGCTTGCCCCTACAAGCTTGCCTTGCTCCGCGAAGAGGTCGTGGTAGATTTCCCCGACCTCCTCCGCCACGTCCAGGTAGGCGATCTCCGGCTCGTCCAGCACCAGGAAGATCTCGTGCTTATCGCAGTCGAGGGTGCTGTGCTCGGCCCGGTCGTGGCGTTCCATTCCAGCCCGGGCGCGGATCACCACAAAGTCCTCCACACCGGGCGTTGGCACTCTGGCCCATCTTTTCACCATGGCCTGGCTGGCCTTCACCAAAACTTGGGTCCCGGACTGGGACCTCAGCTCCTCAAACTCCGGCTCAACTTCTACTGGCCTCGGAGCAGCAGCGTCGCCATCTGCGACCTCTGTGCCATCAATCCCTGGTAGTAGGTCACGATCTGGTTCGCCGCGACCCGGTAGTTCTCGGCTGCCGCTGCCCACTCGGCTCGGGTGTCGCTCGTCGGGAAGTGGTTGCTCTTGAAGCGGGTCTCCCGCTGTACTCCCGAACGATCGTCGTCGACTCCCGGCGCAGCCGCCGCCTCCTCGGCCAAGGTGAGGTCGATGGTGTTGCCCGTCAGCAGCGCAACCTGGCTCTCCGCTAGCTCGAGTTTCTCCTGCTGGTCCGCAATCACCTTGAGGAACTCGTCCGTGCTCGGCTCCATGGTGCCCTCGGTCTTGGCCTGCCGTTTGGTGCCTGGCTTCGCCTTCGCCTTGGAAGTCGTTACCGCCGGCGTGGTCGTTGTCTCCAACTCTCTCCCGGTGACCTTGGCCGCAGACCTCGGCGACACCTTCCATCGGGAATGGCACTGGGCACAATGTATCCAGTTGGCGTGGCCATTCCCTCCTCCTTTGAGGAACCTCGCCTCGTGAGCGCAAGTCTCCGGGCTCTGGGGCGGAAGCCCCTTGATAGGAGCCATCTTCTCGGGATTGCGGTCCTGGAGATAGCCCTTGTAGAAGCGGGCCTTCTCGGTAGGAGCCAGGGCCGCGGCCACCTCGGTGCCACTGCTGCTCGGCGCCGAAGGCAAAGGCGCCCCGCTCATGAATTGCGAGGCCAGGGTATGATAGTGTCCCCAGCGCAGCAAGGAGTAGAGCTTGTCGAAGACCACCCGCCAGTTTCGAAGTGCCAGCCTGCCGCGGTTTACCACTCGCCGTTCTGCCGCTGGTCGCGGCGGTGTTGTCTCCTGGCGCAAGGCGAGCGACGCGAGCATGGCCGAAAAGGGCGCAGGTCGTAGGGTTGCACATGTGCTTGGGCTTGATCCCGGGCTGCCCGTTCGGAAAAGTCGTCCTGAACTGCTGCTCTTCACGAACGCCTTGGCACGCACTTGGGAGTTTCCAGCCCGACCCAAAGTCCAATGCAGACACTGCGGGGTGACCACTAGGTAGAGCTTGCATGGCCATGTCCACGGGGACGGCGGTCAGAGTTAGCTTTTCCCCCGGGAAGTCAAGGACCGCCCCCAGAGAACGAAGGAGAGAAACGGGAAGTAGAAGCGGAACGTCTTCTGCGACGACAGTTGCCTCCAACACCCCGCTCACCCCGGCCAGCCCCAGCGGAAGCTCCACGACCCCAACCGTCTTAGCTGAGCCCCCAATGCCGCGCGCTGCGGCCACCTTGTCCAACCACAGACAGCGAAGGCCTTGAGCGCGAAGCGCGTCACAAAGTCGAAGGAGAGCTGGCTTGCCTATGAGGCCCTCTTGCGCGCACGTGTCTACCAAGGCCTGGTGGTCTGCTGTGGTAACTCCTACGAAGCCACTGTCCTGAAGAAGAGCTTGGCTGCACTCGTTTTCGCGCATCTCTCTGGCCTCCCCGAAGGTGAAGAAGGTAGCCGTGCCCGCCCTTGTCGGCGAGTCGGCCGACCAGTAAAAGCTGGTACTGGAGCGGCTCGTCGAGGAAGCACCGGTCTGGCTGGAAGCGCTGTGCGGGGCATTTCGGCATTCTTTCGACCAGTGCCCCACTTGCCCACAGCTGCGGCAGCGGGTGCGCAGCTTGAGCTGCTCTATGTGTACTCGTCGGGCTTCTGGGGAAAACTGGCCTTTTCCCTTTCCCTTTCCAGCCGGGTTGCCCGAAAACTTGCCGCCAGACTGCTTGCCGAACTTGTGGGCGCCCTTGCCTTCCAAAGGCGGTGGCCTCCTGAACTTGCGGCCCAGCCTGGTGTCCTTCAGGTGCTGCCTCACCTGCTGGTAGGTGGCCAACGCTTCCATCACCTCGTCTTCGTCCATCACCTCTGCCAGGTCGCCGTCGTTCAAGTAGACGAAGTCCTCGCCCGAGTCGTCCTCGGGGCCGTCATAGAGGAACGCTTCTTGTTCTCCAAGGTGGCCTGCCTCCTCGCCGTCGGCATCTCCGAAGTCGGCGAGCAGGACCGTCTTGGAGCCCTCCTGGTGCACGCGCTCCAGTCGCCGAAGGTTAGCCACCACGTTGTCCCGGGAGAAATCTCCGGCCAACCAGGTGGTCAGTCGAGCCTCCAGCTCTGAATCCAGGTTGGCCTGCCGGAACAGAAGGTAGCCAGCCGCCTTGCTCGGCAAGTCAACGCCCTCGTCCTTGAGGAGGGCCTGCGCATTGCTCGCCCGGACCAGATAGTCCGCCAGGCTTTCCTTATGGTGCCTGGGCGCTCCAAAGAAGACCTGCTCCATCGCTCGCGGCAGCGCGGTCTCGACGTAGGGCTGGAAGGCGTCCTTCAGGGCCTTGAGCACCTCCTTGTAGCCATCCGGGCCCTTTATGCTCGAAACCGGCAGTGCGTCGACAGCTGCTTTGGCGGGCCCCTTGAGGCCTTGAACCAACTTGACCCCCTGCTTCTCCACCGGGATGTCTGTCGATGCTTGCCATAATTCCAAGTCCGGGAGGAAGGGGCGAAACGTACTCTGAGGATTCTCTCCGGCATAGCTTGGCGGGGGATCCCGGTCCCGGAACACATATCCACCCTCGCCTCCTGAAGCTTCGGCCATCGCTGTTGCCTCGTCGCCTCAGGGTTCTCAAAGTCAGGCTCCGGTGGTCGTCGAAAACTCTTGCCCTGGATCCGGTAGCCGCGGTCCTCGTGCAGCAGGGCCTGGTAACGCACGAAGCGAAGTCGCCCTCAAAAGGCGATTCTCAGCAGGCACTCTCCTGCAGCAGCAGCCAGCGCCGCGGCCAACCTCCAACCGGAGGCTCCGCTGCCAACTGACAACGGCACAGCGAAGTAAATCGCGCAATGGCTCTCTTTTCTGCTTGGCTAATGGTCAGTAGCTTTAAAGTCAAGGGGGCCCCCTGGGCCAAAAGGAAAGCGGAAGGCACACAACAGTCAAGGGACAGGCTGCACAGGTAAGCCGATTCACAACAGCGAAAATAGGGTTCCTTTAAGGCTTCCTTGAAGGCGTGTCTTTAGGTTTTTACAGGGTCTGCAAAGCAATAATTAGAATAACAAACCTAGGAATCGTGTAATTCATGATCAGGCGGCGAAGCTGAAGCTCTACCGGCCTTGCAAACCTGAAGACAGAGATTGAAACCCCAAAACAAAACCCCCTCAGCTTGAAGCACTCAGTACTACACCCCTAAACTCCGAAGTTCTCTAAACTCTCTAAAAACCCTGAAACCTAAACTCCGAAGTTCTCTAAACTCTCTAAAAACCTGAAGCCTTCTACGGAGTTCCCAAGCCCCACTTCCGCGTCCCAAGGGCTGTCTTTGCGGCACGCAGCGAAATGAAGAGCCCTGTCACCGTCCTCACCGAGACAAGCTGGTAGGGTTTAGGGTCCGGGTTAAGGGTTTAGGGTTTAGGGTTTAGGGTTTGGGGTTTGGGTTTGCGAGTAGGCTCCAAACCCTACCTTAACCCCAAATAACCCACCTTTCTAAGGACTTATATAAGGAAATGGTTCTTTAGGGTCCAGGTAAACCCTAAACCCTAAACCCAAGAGCCCTTAATTTAATACAGCAGGATGTGTACTTCATTGAGGCTGTTGGGGCCCCTGCGTCGCAATTTTGAGGGCTTTGGCCTAAGCCCTAAACCCCAAACAGCTCTCGGGTGTAGGCCTTCCTTGACGTGACGCTTGCTTCGAACCTAATCACGGAGGAGAAGCCTCTGCAGAGTGGGGTGTTGGAGGCCTCGGAAGGTGTCATGAAGGTAGGTAGGATGAAGGGACTCCTATTTTGGGATTTCCCCCGAAACCCCGAAACCCCAAAACCCTAAAACCCCAAACCCCTAAAACCCTAAACCCCTAAATGGCCTAAACCCCTAAATCCTAAACCCCCAAACCTCTAAACCCTAAACCTCTAAACCCTAAACCACCTAAACCCCTAAACCCCTAAACCCTAAACCCTAAACCCTAAACCACCTACCTTCATCCCGCGCCAGGAGCCCTTCGAGTCCCTTTGAACCCTACTGCCGCCGGGCCAGGGCCTGTATAAGACAAAGGGCAAGCGCCGGAAATTTAGGGTTTTCGGGTTTAGGGTTTAGGGGTTTAGGGTTCAGGGTTTAGGGGTTGGGGTTTAGAGCTTTAGGGGTTTAGGGGGTAGGGTTTAGGATTTACGTGCTTCTTGGAACTCAAGGTTTCGTGAATGGCGCTTTGGCCGTTTCGCGGTTCAGGCTCGATGTCCCCAGTGTAGGTATGGACAACGACTGCGATTCCGATATCCCTTGGCTGGCTCACGATCCATCTATTCATATACATACATACCTAACCCCCCAAAGTAAGTAAAATAAGCTTTGATTCTACATACTTCGGGGGTCCAGGTACATATATACATATGTATATATGTTTATATCTATATATATATATATTTATTTATTTATTTATCTAATTAGATATATACAGATGTATGTATACATATATGTGAATACGTACATAAATACATACATACATACATACATACATACTGCCCA